CCCCTTCCCAGCTCCCTCAGCCATTCCCAGATTTTCAACCCCTTCCCAGCTCCCTCAGCCATTCCCAGATTTCCAGCCCTTTCCCAGCTCCCTCAGCCATTTCCGGATTTCCAGCTCCTTTTCCAACTCTCTCAGCCATTCCCATATTTCCAACCCCTTCCCAGCTCCCTCATCATTCCCAGTTTTCCAGCCCCTTCCCAGCTCCCTCAGCCATTCCTGCTTTTCCAGCCCCTTCCCAGCTCAGCCATTCCCAGTTTTCCAGCCCCTTCCCACCTCCCTCATCATTCCTGCTTCTCCAGCCCCTTCCCAGCTCCCTTATTCCCGGATTTCCAACCCCTTCCCATCTACCTCAGCCATTCCCAGTTTTCCAACCCCTTCCCAGCTCCCTCAACCATTCCTGGTTCTCCAGTCCCTTCCCAGCTCCCTTATTCCCAGATTTCCAACCCTTTCCCAGCTCCCTCAACCATTCCTGGTTCTCCAGCCCCTTCCCAGTTCCCTTATTCTCAGATTTCCAGCCCCTTCCCAGCTCCCTCAGCCATTCCAGGTTCTCCAGCCCCTTCCCATCTCCCTCAGCCATTCCTGCTTTTCCAGCCCCTTCCCATCTCCCTCAGCCATTTCCAGATTTCCAACTCCCTCAGCCATTCCCATATTTCCAACCTCTTCCCAGCTCCCTCAGCCATTCCTGCTTTTCCAGCCCCTTTCAACTCCCTCAGCCATTCCAGTTTCTCCAACCCCTTCCCAGCTCCCTTATTCCCGGATTTCCAGCCCCTTCCCATCTCCCTCAGATATTCCAGGTTCTTCAGCCCCTTCCCAGCTCCCTCAGCCATTCCCGGATTTCCAACCCCTTCCCATCTCCGTCAGCCATTCCTGGTTCTCCAGCCCCTTCCCAGCTCTCTTATTCCCGGATTTCCAACCCCTTCCCATCTACCTCAGCCATTCCCAGTTTTCCAACCCCTTCCCAGCTCCCTTATTCCTGGATTTTCAACCCCTTCCCAGCTCCCTCAGCCATTCCCAGATTTTCAACCCCTTCCCAGCTCCCTCAGCCATTCCC